TGTTTTGAGAAACATGACCACATTTGGGTCTTGTATGTGTGTTTCCTAGATACAGCACACATTGATTTTAAGGGAATCTGAGATCTCGTCGAGCATTGCCTGTTTACCAGTTTGACATGGAGCACGGACTTTAAGAGCTCCTATCTAAAAATGATCTGGATTTTGTAAGGTGTTGTTTTGTTTGTTGTTAATAGGCAGTGTGGTGCATAGGGCACATTGGACAATCAAATGCCACAGCAGCGTTTGTTTTTGTATTGGGAATGGGTTGGGGAAGGACATCGGTGGATAGTGGCATTACTGCTACTTGTTAGCAACCGTTTATTTTACAAGAGTAGTCTGTCCGCGGGGACTCATTGACGCTCTGGGGGCGTTCCAGGGGGAATGTGGATCTCCCGCATTCCGAGTATCCCATGAACCTCGGTAGCAGGTGGTGCTACCCAGCCAAAGTTTACCTGCCTTTTTTTCTGGGTTGTTGTTGGTGAGATTCGTAAAGAATGCCAAGTCAATCCCACTGATAATGTCTCGCCTCAGCATCATGCTTTGGTGTGCCTATTTCGATGTAGATCAAGGGTGTGTACACACCTTGTGCCCAATCGTTTTCCGAAGAACCATAGGCTCTTGGATTTAATTCTAGTCCATTTCCGTTTCTTGCACTCCTTGCTCAGATTTTTCTTCCTTATGGCTGTGTGGCAGTCAGACACCAGTATTTACTGCTGTTGTATTGCAACAAGATCGCTTAATTTGACACCGCGCAGCTCAAAATCGCCGCCAAAACTAGAATTGCTGTGAGTGTTAATACGAAAAAGCGCCTCACGTACGCTGCTCGTCAGATCACCTTAGTTCTGCGATTTTCGCAGTGTTGGAAGAGACCACCATATAATGGGGTGGCAGTTGACTTTCCATAATACCCATCAGGCTTGTGTAGTATTTTGTGGGTAACAGGGTCGCCATTTGACAATCTTTCACATTCTCTTGATGTCCATTGCTTGTAGTCCCACAGATGACGTTCCACTGAAATCTCCCGTTTCATTTGCCCCCTTCGGGTCTCCCTGATAAGCATGAACTTGGTTTGGGGCCAGATGATTATCAAATTTCGTGCGGGTTCAGCCTTCGTAGTGTTTATTCTAACGTTTCATTCCGTTCCTACATCATGCTCCAGTCGAAAGGAGTTCAACATGGAGGTGTTGGATGCCTTTACCAGGTTGCACGATTTTCGAAATCAGGAATTCCTTCCCTCTCTCAGGTAAGTTCTGTGTCCTTAGAATTCAGCTGTTTCATTCGGAGCATATTACATTTTGGATGTTCATTTTCTGATGATTATTAGTATTTGCAACGCACTGAATTCTTTCTTCAACGCAATTCATGAAGAACATTATGTACACAAGAGTGAATGTGCAACGAATTGCTCTGTGACCAAATCAATAGTTTCTTAATCTTCTCTTTTTCTCGCCTACGGTATTTTCCATGGTGCGCCCTACATTTTTTTTTTTTTTTGGGGGGGGGGGGGGGGGGGGCTTTTTCCACCATACACACACTCAGGATCGAAGTCAGACCTGAGTGGAGCAGTAGGCTGAAATTTGACGTGAGATCGGGTGCTTCCCCTCAAAAGCCGATCGGTTTCGAATTTCGGATGTTCAATATCTGTTCATCACAGATCAGACATCCGAACAACCGGAGCATGTGGTACAATGATATCTATGTCTCAACAGAATTTCTCTTCATATTATACTTGAGACGGGCAATCTGACCACCAGTATTCAGTGAAACAGTCTTCTTCTAGAACGGAGTAGTCTTCGCGAGTTTCACTGTGTAACTTTAACACGTACTTTTAAAGCCTTTTTAAATGGCGTCTTTGCTGAATTTAAGGTTTTGAGCTTTCAAATATGTTTATGAATGCGGCTGCAGCCCCACGCCGCCTAGAGAGGTTAATCAATTCGTTTGGGTTTTATTTATTTAGTTAGACTGGTCGTAATTCACCGGCATTCTACAACTGCTTTCGCCTTGGTCGTCATATGGTTGTAGTCACTGAATCTCGATCAGTTTTTTGTCCTCCTTCAATACTAGTCTTTTTGTTTCAACTCAGCTACATACTAAATTGTTTTTGGGCGTGAACATAGATTATCTTTGGATAGTTTGGTCGAAATTACCTCGAGGTTTTTGATATTGTGTTGTCATAGTGGTCACTTGTTCTGTTCAGAATTTTGAAATAGTATATCTACCTCTCTCACTGGATGCCTTACACTACTTTCCAACGGATGCCTTGGGATGTCTTTTGTAGGGATGATTAGCTCAATCAGTTAATCTGTCATGAAGAGGGTAGACTTAGGGTGCGGTGTGACGGTTCACCTACGTCCTCAACCCTTTGAACTATGTTGGGGGTTGCTGGTCTGACATGTACGATTTCGCACAAAGTTTTTCGATGAACAACAGTCCACTCGTTTCATTCTGTTCAGCTTCACTCAGAGTGATGTGATGGAGCGAACACCGGAGGGTCTTCAAAATTATGATGCTGAAGTTATTGCTCATGAGAAACTTGTCAACTTGAAGTATGCGGGTCTAAACCTTCGAAGACGAATAGATGACCGCTATTAAACAAACCAGCCTCCATACCATCCTTTGGCACGCGCCTTGCGTATATAAAGTGCAAATTCCCACATCATTGAATGCGATCTACACAGTGGGAGTCGTTAAAGATTGCGAAGTTATATCCGGCGGAAGTGTATTTGACGGAGCTAGTGCACCAACCACAAAAGCTGGAGTCACGGTCGCTGACTTGCACCACTTGTGGATTTCAAGGGTCATGTACGCCTGCCTACGACCAGTGTTTGAAGGCGTGTGGTTTTAGAAGCCGCTATTGGATCTCAATTATTAACGAGCTAAAATGGTTATGTAGCTGTTCAGCAGATGGCTCAGTCATGGAGATCATCCACAATAATGACTCAGCCATATGCTGCTCATGCCGGATCATCTACCAAGGCGAGCATTGTTCTCCGTCCCCGCCTGAGAATGGCGCGAACTGTGGGACTTGACAGATGGGAGTGAAAAATATTGTGAAAAGTTTCGACGAAGCGATACTTCATGCGCTTGGCTGGAGACGATATAACCTGCGGTGGTAACCGATGTCAGTAATATCCACACTGTTAGCCTCCTTTCAAATTTTATGAGTGAACGTTTGGAGGTTTTCCTACATCGCAATGCACCAGCTCTCTTTCCTGCTAACTCTCATTTCAGACCTTTAGAAATGGGAATTGGATAGAAGTTGTGTTTGTATAGGGTCAGTTTCGATGTTGCTGATACTGTTTGTGATGATAGCGAGGACGCTGCGAATTAGGGGACTGTCAATAGTTAAACCCTCTATCGTGAGCATTACCATGTTTAGCGACTGTTTCTTCATGCGGTCTTACCTACTATATCCTAGTCTGGCTAGGTGGCCTAGCCAACAGAAACCTCCGAACATTGCGGTGAACCAAGCTCACGCAGCTGACTAACCAATGTGTCTCGGCAGTGCAACGATGTTTAATTCCTGGAGCATTCGTCAAAAGGCTAATCTTACTCTCTTAAAAACCCAAATTACTACCTTCAGACGTGAGCGTGCACGGATAAGCTCAGTGGGCTCGAGATAGCTTAGTGGTTAAGGTGCCAGCTTATGCACCGGAAGGTCCACGGTTTGAACCCAACCTCAGGATCTCGACTGTTCTTGTCTAGGCTTAGGCAACCTAGCAATATCCCAGCCCCGGTGCCTCCTTCCTTTGGGATGGCAGCTAGGCACTGAAAGAGTGCTACAGCTGAACGATTTGATCTTGGTTTTTTTCGACAGTCAGCCCTCTCAACAGCTAGCACCGACTGAAGATTTTTGCTATCAACAAAGTTATTTTCCCATCGGAAGGGGACCACTGCGACAGAAAAAAACTTAGACGGTACCTACTGTGGTTACTGATTTGTTTTTCTCCTACCCAGAGCCTTTCCTATATTGTGTGGATGTATTCAACAACAGTTGTTTCCCCTAACTATGCTAATCTAACGCTTTTTGTGACTTTTGTGGCCACTGGTTTTTAACTCTGATCCTATCTTTTTTCGTTCTTATTAGGCATTTTCTCCTCAGCTTCCAGTTGCCCGGAGAAAGTCAGAAAATAGATCGAATTTTGACCAGTTTTGCCGAGTGGTACTTGGAACAAAACCCTACAATGTTCCGGTCCCCACGTGAGTTTTGTTGTCCCGGCACCATGGCTTCAATCTTCCCAGGTCATATAGTTTACTGGTCAGTTGCCTGTGGATGCGGTTCGTTAGAATGATTTGCTCTGACTTAACTATCTTCGCTGGTAGAGATCGTGAATGTTGATGTAAGCACGTACATACCATGATAAATATTCAGACATGCAGTGAAACCTCCATTGTGGCTAAAACACTAGTAGGTTTATAGCTAATACATTGGAAACAAATTGACTTGTTTGGATATCCGTTGCTATTCGCCATTTCGCATTCAGTTCGACAACGTCTGGAAGAATCTCGAGAAAGTAGGGTCCATCGCACCCTGACGCACTCAGTGTACTGTTGCTCTGAACTTGCAAAAGACATTTTAGGTGCTCTTTTACAAAGCGCTAAAAGCTCAGACATCGTTGTGGTTGCTGATGACATGAGTGCCCAGGTATGCACACTAAGCGCTGCTCAGACTGAATCGGGTGCTCGTCCTGGGTTGGATACAAGACGCGCGAATGGCGCCTGCTTTAGATTTACATCGATTACAGACTGTTCCTTTGCAGTAACAATTTTCGGACCAGCTTAAGTGGCTTGACAACGTTGTGTCCATCAACAAACCAAGCCCGAATTCAAGTAGACCACATCGTCGTTACTGCCTGCCGCTTTTTGGAGTACCATCTTGAACTCTGACCATTCGCTTGTCCGCTGGTGCTTTATATTGCGCTTTCCAGTCTACGCAAACCACACACATCTCGCTTAGCCAATAGGGAGCTAGTTGATCGAACCGGATGGTTCGATGTCGGATACTAACGGCCACTGGGAGCAGATATCCAAAGCGCCACTCAAAGCCTAAACTTCTGTTTGCGGTATGACCTAACCAATCTCATCCAAACATTGAGTATCTGATGGGATTGTGGCCTTGCTGGAAGTCCAGCGCGGATTCTTCATGGTCACGGGAATGGGTTGGGGAGGGACATCGGTGGATAGTGGCATTACAGCTACCTGATAGCAACCGAGTGGTCTGTCCGCGGGTAATCTCCCATTCACGCTCTGGGGGCACTCCAGGAGGAATGTGGATCCCCCGCATCTCGAGTATCTCATGTACCTTGGTACCAGGTGGTGCTACCCAGCTAAAGTTTACCCGCCTGATTCTTCTGGATTGTTGGTGAGATTCGTAACGAATGCCAAGTCAACCATAACTCCACCCGACGCATCATCCGACGTTAGGTGAAACCGAGTGCTCGTGCTGGCCGCGAAGCCTGGTGGATCTGAAAGGCCGAGGAAATGAAAGGTTCGAAGTGCTGGAAACGTCTGCTGGCTCTTCCGTTTGATTCTTTCGACTGGTCCTCGGAAGCCTGTTGTCGGTGGAACTATCAGGGACCAGGATAGTTCTCTGATATCCAGCAAGGGAAAACGTTACCCACCGGGCATAGCACTTTAAAAGAAGCACTTCTTTAGGCCACCTGCTACCTTCATTCTGCAGGGCCGGCCTCCAACATAAAGGTGAACTGTGAACATGGAACCCCCCTGTCAGCCTCAGAAGTGGCCGAGCGTATATCTCTACTCAAGTTTTATCGTGTTGCTGGTCCTGACGACCTTCCACGTGATCTGTTCAGAGATGGCGGTATGTTTCTCAATCAGTGCCTTTCTAGCCTATTTGTGTCTATCTTGGGGAAATGCGCTGTTCCAGACTGGGGTGATTCGAAAGTAGTGTCCATTTTAAAAAAGGGTCCTCTTAGTTGATGTATTATCCACAGAGATGTCAATTTGACTCCCGTTGTAACAAGGCTTCTGTAGTTACTGATTCTTCGTCGTCGACTTATTTGATCTCATCATCATGACGATTCTTACTACCCGGAGAGGGTTAGAAACGGAAGACGGGACGCTTTGTTTCTTGAGGCAATGGAATTGGGAAGCGACCTGTGATACGTAGACGTACGATCGTGGTCCCTTATGGCCAAATACCAGGGTGCCCTCCGGTAAAACTCGAAGGACTGCTTATATTGCGGTACGATAACTGGAGCCGTGTTGGATTACCTTCGCGAACGCTGAGTAATACCAACCAGCAACCAACACTGGTTGTGTTTCTTTATTCAAAAGCTGCCTTTGACTATGTGGACCGCCAAGCACTATGGCAGTGTCTGTGGAGCAAAGGTGTCCCCCATAAATTCTTGACCCTCATAAAGGCGCTGTACGCCAACTCCCGCGGCCGTATGAAGGTCTGCGGGAAGCTCTCTCCTGAGTTCACCACATCAAGTGGTGTCCGACAGGACTGTCCTCTTTCACCTTTCCTCTTCAACTT